ATTTGATATATGAGTACATTCAGAGGATACTCTGAGATAAATAGAGAAATATTAACTTGGTCATTAGAGGAAACATCTGTCCATGCTATTTTTTAAATGCTACGGGGCAATTGTCCTGAAACAGGATGCAAATGAACCCAGTTCTCAAGCTTGTCCAACTTTATAGCCCTTCAATGTTGATTATCCTAATGTAAATACAAGACACTGTATATTCAGAATGCTTCATCATGAAAAAAATGACAGGGTCAAATATGTCACAATTATATCAGATTCACAAAAGAGTTGTATCTCTACAGTCTACAGATAAATAAATAAATAAAATGACAATATTAATCATCATCATCGTCATCATCATCATGCTTTTTAAAGAAAGGAATATGAGCACACTATTTTCCTGGAGCCAGATGACTCGCAAATTCTGCAGACAGCAGAGTATAACTTCAGCAAAATCTACCCTTTCAACAACCATGACATTTGCTAAAACAGAGGTGTAGAGTGATTCAAGAGTAGCATGAATTTATTTTAGATTGTGTAGGTAATTAAATAATCAAACCGATTGGCATTATTCTATACAGTCTAAAATTTTACTCATATTCTTTTAGATACCCTGTTATTATTTAGGTATACAAGGCTTCCACCTATTCCATTGACCCAGGAAAACCAGGGAAAAGGTGAATCCAGCTAGGTATCTGTAGGATTACTTTTGGAATTCCAGTATTTCTGGGGAAGATACAACATTTCTGGCATGAGCACTTGGTAACAGCAGGTGGTTTATGAATGCAGGCTGGTGCCGTGGTTGGAGGTCAGGTCTTTTGATGCTAGTGGACACATCAGCCAGCATTCTCTCCACTATTCCTGGAGCACCACTGATGCTTTCCAGTTTGTAGATATATGGTGGCTGTGTCAAGTCAGCACTGATGCTGTACAAGGACCTTCAATTTCTGGGCTGTGCCAGCAGTACAGAATCCTGTGTGGTGGCAGCCATCATTCCTCTCTAAAAAGAGATGTTTCTGTAGAAGAGTAAAGCCGTAACTCTGTTGAATGCAACATTTGCAGTGACCCCAGAAAACTGGGCCCTCGGAACTTCAGTGGTCTTAGCCAGCATAACTCCATATCTTCATAAAAGCAATTATTGTAATTAAGTATAAAGAAAAATACACAGGCACATATGATAAATGCCATTTTTGTTGCATAGAAACAAGAAATAAATATTGACTCTCAGAGTTCAATGACTGCCATAGAACAAAACACACAAGTGCCGCACAAGGGCACCAGTAGATGGTGACATATAATTTTTATTGGTTATTTTCTGGTTGTAAAAAGTTCTGAGCTACGAGCAGCTACACTGCGCAGCTTCTTGTTTAGGATTTGCTTTCGTATTCTTGCACCTTTCTGAGATCTCTTTTACACATTTCACAGCTGCAGAAATGTTTCACAGCTGCAATTGCATCTCCTGGCTATAGCAGGTCAGCCTGATCCTCTTCTGTGAACTGGAGGGCTGACTTCCCTCTGCTGAGCAAAATGGGATTTTCTGTGGTTTCAGTGTTTTTTTGTCTGCCAATGAAAGAAATTAACCCAGTTCTTGAAACACATACAAGAGAAAAAAAGTCAATCTTTAGAGCATGTACCTCCTATTTACTTCCAGTGAATAAACAAGTTTTATAATTAACTGTGTGGAAATCTGCTATTTACTGCCAAATGTAATCAGCAGCCTCTCCTAACTCCATCACACCCTTCTGCACACCAGTACTCCTGAGTTATGAAGCCATTAGTAGCCCTGGAAAAAAATTATTCACCTCAGCTTGCCCTGTCTATTGTTTTCTATTAATTTAAATACCTTGTGGGTCATGACTAATGAAAGCCATATAGCTACAATATATGGCATAAAGCTGGGGTCTGGATGGTTAGCGAGTTGTTTTGGAGCAGCAAGATGAAGCAGGACTGAAGGCTTCAGGAATCACCATACAAATGAGCTGGGCCTGTTTGTTTTATGGGAATAGTATTGGCTCCATTGGGACCATCTGGAGCAGAGGGGATAGATAAGAGTGCTCCTGGCAGCCTCTGCCCACAGCCAGTGGGTGTATCTGGATGAAAAGTGTCTTGGTGTCCTTTGAGGGAGAGTGGTGTGGTGTAATTGTGCATCAATCTTGACACAATTCATGGCCCTGAAGACACAAGCAGAGCTCTGCAGCTGCTGACTTTGCAGCCAGTGTGGGCAGCCAGTCTGGGGTAGAAGCGGGTGCTAAATGCACCATACTGAGAAAACAGTCAGCACGCTCTTTTGCCTGCATCCATGTGCTGTTGAGCTGCTCTTTTTGGACTGTTATTAGCTCAGTGTACACAAAGGCTTATCTGAAAGGTCTAATTACAGTTGTTAAAAGGTTCTGCATTTTCAAACTACCATCTTAATGCATTGCTGAGTTCTTGAGGGATAAACACCCATATTCAAACCTGCAGTAACAAAGGCTTATACATTCAAAGATTTGTAGTACTTTATTCCTCAAACCGCAACAGTATCATTGGCCTGAGTTGAGTCTTGAGCCCAAGTCATGCCAGTTCTTTGCATTAAAATTCATCTTACCATTTATACCAGGAGCCTTCTTCATGAAGCCAAGGCAAAACAAGTTCAGTATGTTTTTTCTGACTGTATCCATAACTCCTGTGAGTCACCCTCTTGGGTAGTGGCAAGAGAGCCAAGCTCACACATAACATACAGTGTGCTGCAGAAAATGTAGTGTTTGTCAATCAGTGGGACCACATAGTGCCTTCAAGCCCTGCTGTGCAGATTGGTGACAACTGTCTGAGTTTTGGCAGTGGGAAATGGGACCCAGTGTCCATCCAGATGTTGTATGTCTGTCTGAAGTTGAAGAACACCAAAATACCACACCCAGAACATCAGGGCACTCTACTGGCACTGCTGAAAAATCAGGAAGGTCTAATGCCCACTAGTATAAATGAAAGGAGATTCATATTGAGAAAGTATCTATGGCAGACAACACTCTTGCTTGACTTTATCACAAGAACACATATCACAGGCTGCAGCCAACTATAGTACTGGCTGGCTTTGGGTTGTAGATTGGCCTATTTAAGACTTCCCTGGGAGAAAAAGCAATTATTTCAGGTAGGCAGCCAAGCAGCTCCTGTGCTCTGCCTACTGGTTATACTTCCAGTGCTATTACATATGTACAAAGCAGAAAGTGAAAGAAGGCAGGCACCTTAGAGAAGTTACTGCTGCTGTTTGCTGGCAACAGGATGCTGTTTATAAATTATGTTACCATCACATTGCAGTGCAACAACCTAAAGCATGGAAGGAAAAGGTAAGTGTGCCTGACAGCTCTACCAAACAGCACAGGACAGTGTGAGGAGCCACAGGCAAGTGTTGCTGGTTAAATGTTATTCCTGTATGTTGAACACAAAACTGACAGTAGCTTCTGACTTTCTTGTTCAGTGTTGTTTGTACATAAAAAAGGCCAATATCTACACATGCAAAAAGAATTAGACACAAATAGGATAAAATTATTATACTTGTTTAGGATGAGGAAGTCATAGGATAAAGTCAAAGATGACACCCAGAACTAAAATTTTCCATAACAGAAACAAGCAAGGAATGGGAAAGCAAGGTTTTTATAAAGCAATTATGTAATAACAAACTAAATTCAGCTGATGAAAAAGAATTTTTCATAGGAAAATAAAAGAAACAACCGTGCTTAAAGGAAAATGTGGTAGGACTGGATCTTGAGCTTACACAGCTCAAAAGGAGTTTTACATCTTTTAGATTAAGTGAGGGCAAACCTCAGTGCTGCAAAAAGGGATTATTTCTTCAGTATAGCAACTTTAAAATTGCCTCAAATGTGATGGCATATGCACAATTACCCCATGCCTGCCTTGGTTTGAAGCCAGGACAATGTTCCCGTCTGCCAGATTTGCATGTCAGTGCCTTCAGTGTAGTGTTCAATAGCAACAGCAAAAAGTCCAAATCTTCACTGTTTTATCACACAACTGTAGGGACACCAACAAAAAGTGGTACAAAAGTGAGCCTGAAAAACCCTTTGGTTTTCTCTTAGAAACATAGTAGATGCTGGATGACTAATGAAACATCGCTATACCTGAGCTGCCTCCTTGATGGCTTGATGCCAGGTGCTAGGAGCAAGCCAAAGCTTGAATTCTCACGAGTCAACAACAGAAAGGGGAACAGGTTTAATGGGAAAATAAAAGGTGATCCAAGGACAATGAAAAAAACCCCAAACTAGTGTGGTTGTTGAATCCTGCTTTTTTCTCTCTTGTGCTGCATTACAGAAAGCATCCTTGAAAATGTTCAAGGCCAGGTTGGATGGGACTTTGAGCAACCCGGCCTAGTGGAAAGTGTCCCTGTTAAGAGCAGGGAGTTGGAACAAGACGATCTTTATGGTCCCTTCCAAGCCAAACCATTCTATGATTCTATGATTCATTCCGTGATTTTGTGAAAGCCCGTTTTTTTTCCTTTCTTACAGATAAATGTTATTAGAGGAAGTGAGTCCACCTCCGCAGCCATCACTTTACCCAACAGCTGAACCCTGCTGTTCCCTCTTGCAGTGGCACACCAGAGCCAGGCCAGTCCACAAGAAGGAGAAGGGAGGGGGAACAGGCTGGCAGCTGAAGGACAGCACAAACTGCAGTCACCAGTTAGCCGAGTCTGAATCTTCTGGACAGTGGTCAGTAGCCATTTCATATATTGCTAAACTTGAACCATAAACTGCAATTGGTAAATCTGCAGGATTAATCAAAATACACCTGACTGACCTTCACATTATCAACTATTACAGCTGTGTGGTTACTTTGGAACCACTACTGATATGTGACCAGCTCAAGGCCAGATCTGCAACTGTCTGCATCAATCCAGCGAAGATCTCTGCAGAAAGGTGCCAGAACAGAGACAGAACAAGCTCTCTCCAGAAATGGTTAATCAATAGCTTCTAGGTTGATTTAGTGCTATCAGATTTGGTGGTGCACCCACTGTATATAAATCGTGACCTGTCTTGTTTGTCATTCTCAGTCACCTCTCCTGCCATACTGGTGGTTACCAGTTCTCCCCTTGGAAGTTTTTTGGGCATTACCAGAAATGTTCCTAGCATCCTGGATCTGGGGAACAGCAATAATACTTTGTTGTGCCTTTTGTTTTCTTCTAGGAAGAAGAAGAAGGTAAGGAATCTGTCTGTACATGCATCTCAGTGTACCTATCCTTTAATTGTGTCAAATGTACCATGTACATAACTAAAAGAACTGTAATCTTAAGACTGTCAGATGGACAGATGCAAGATAGCATAGGCAATGCTGTAGTTTGGTCTTTTCATAGAATTTTTGTATATGAACTTTGTAATAATAGTGTAGTAATGCATAAAGGTAGCTGTAGATACAAATCTATGCATAAATGAGGTATTTAAAATATGAATATGCATGCTCTGATTTCCTAGAGTTCTGGATGATAGTTTTACCTGTATTGTAATCACAGCTAATACTTACTTATATCTAATTATATATTTATATTATATATTCATATAATAACTTTTAATAATTTACTGGAAAAGCTAAAGTACTATATGAAAGTTATTTTAGCAGCCATGACATCCTTATACAGGAAGGAAGTTTTCTGAATCAGAAAATAAAATTATTTAAGCATATGCTTCACTTTAAGCACATGCTTAAGTTAAAGAATGTGCTTGATGACACTTTTATGCTTACTGAAGATCATAGCAAAGTTCCCACTGTTTTCAGCAAGGTCTGGTCCATTAGTGGATTATGCCAATAATAACAACATTTCTGCAATAAAAAGTTATTCCACTTGGTATTCAAATGAAATCAGGGATACCATTGCCCAAAAATGTATCAGATGATATTAGTGTGATGGATTATTTATTAATGTCACAATTGCATAACTCTGTATGGCAACAATTTTGCATTTAAACAGGTGAAAAATATGCTTCTGATATAGGGAAAAGAAAGATTATATAATCAAACTGTGTTTTATTATGTTTATGAATGGTACAGGTTGTTAAAGTTGTTCTTTCTTACATAGAATAGACCTCACAATGGGTTTAGCCCTTAAAGGAGAGAAAAATATTTGTTAATATACTATTTGTTTGGGATTTTTTTTTTTTCATTTTTTTACATTACAAAAAGCCTAGCATCAATATTTGACTTACCTGGTAGTCCCAGAGAAGTGATCTTTATAATACAGCTTTTGTTTTGTAGGCGACAAGGTGAGCCACCACTCGAAAATGGGTTCCTCCCGTACCTGGGCTGTGCCTTGCAGTTTGGTGCCAACCCCCTTGAATTCCTCAAAGAAAAGCAGAAGAAGCATGGCCACATCTTCACTTGTCATGTAGCGGGGAAATACATTCATTTCCTCACTGACCCTTTTTCATACTGTGCATTGATGCGCCAGGGAAAACATTTGGACTGGAAGAAGTTCCATTTTGCTACTTCTGCCAAGGTACTGCTGGTTTTAATATCTAACATGCAAAGTGTCTGCTGACATACCCAGTTAATTCTTATAAGCATAGCTACGCCTTTGAAATAGAATTTGTTTCACATTTCTGCACTTTTACTGGTTTAAAACATTGTGGTCTTTTTTTCCTTTCCTTAGTGGAAAGGCAGTTTGCAGTGATTTGGATTGTCTAAGACTGCACATTATTTAGCAACCTAATATCCCAAATTGTTAAAGCAGAAACACAATTAGCACCATCTGCAAAATGACAATGTGTCTTGCTGAATCTGAAACCTTCAGAAGGTTCTCGCTACTTTGGAAGATTTGGTCTAAATGCCTTAAAAAATTATGCATCACAGTAGGAGCTCAGCCAAACTGCTATGGAAGTAAGAAAAAAGGCTCCTGTTGATGTCAATGGCAGTTGAATGAAGGTGTAGGTAACCAGACCATTTATTTGTAAGCATCTATTTGAATCTATTTTCATTGGCTACTTCACTGCTGTGGATCACTGAGAAAGTATCAGTTCTAGTGTTAATACCCCTTATTATGTGTTCTTCCTTCTATTAAGCTGTGAAGTTATACTTTGTCTTTCATTTCTGTTAGACTTTATCATCAAGGTCATGACAGGCCTTACTTATCATGCATACAATTTATTTTGTGACAGGCTTTTGGGCATGGTAGCATTGACCCAGCAGAGGGAAACACCACTGAAAATTTTCATCAGACTTTCATTAGAACCCTCCAAGGCAACGCCCTAGATGCCCTCATTGAAGCAATGATGGAAAACCTACAGTATGTCATGCTGCAGTCAAGAACACCTAAACTTCAGTCTAATACCTGGGTGACAGAAGGACTTTATACGTTCTGTTGCCAGGTCATGTTTGAGTCTGGCTTTTTAACACTTTTTGGTAAAGAATTTAATTCAAATAATGACAAAAACCTATCATCAAAGCAGGAAACTGAGAGAGCTCATATCCTAAATGCCCTTGAAAACTTCAAGGAATTTGATAAGATTTTTCCAGCCCTTGTGGCAGGGCTGCCCATCCACCTCTTCAAGAGTGCCCACAGTGCACGAGAGAAGCTGGGAGAGGCACTCCTCCACAAGAACCTCCTGAAAAGGGACAACCTCTCTGAGCTTGTCACCCTCCGCATGTTCCTGAACGACACTCTGTCAACCTTCGATGACATGGAAAAAGCAAAGACCCATGTGGCAGTGCTCTGGGCCTCTCAAGCCAACACCATTCCTGCCACATTTTGGACCTTATTCTTTCTTCTTAAGTAAGTCCCAATGTTTCTTGTTCCCAGAGAATAAAACTGTTTGTTGTCTTTCAGAAACCATTAATACAGGCCAATTCCATGACTTGATACTCCATCAGTGTTAAAAAACTTACTGTTTGCAACAGACATGGTGTGTTGTTTTGGACTTCCACAGAAACCATCTTCACTCATCTGAGGCCACGTAGTGATAGAAGAGAGCAACTCTGTAGAGTTTTTTTTTAAAATAAAACAACACTCCAGGGCAATGCTACACTTTGCCAAGAAAGCTTTGGAGTAAATCTATATGATGTGACATCAAAAGTACTAGTTGCAGTCAGAGCATTAATTGCATTAAAGGCTCCCAATATAACTGGACATTTTTAGGCCATCTCACTTGAGCAAGCAAAATGAGCTTTAACTTCATTATTGTTTTCACAGGTACTTAATAGAAAACAGTTTATGCATTGATAGATCCCACTGAGGTTGCAGTGTAGACTGCAGCTGCCAAGCTTGTTACTCATGAGACAAGTGCACAGTTCAGATAATACTATTAAATATGAATTTTAGAGTGGACCTCTGCAGAGTATAATTTACTTCAGCAGGACTGACTCTGAAGTATGTGTCTAAATTGCTGACACATTTATTTAGCACCCTCATATCTATCTGCCAATGCTAATCTGTGAGATTCTTTACTGATTTTCACTCCCAGAATGCATTTGCTTTAGGTTTTCTGGACTTGGAGTCTTTTAACGCCCTGATTGTGCCTTCATCAAGACACTATTGCATCCTGTTTTATTGTCTATATGTATTTTACCATAGCTTATATATTCCGTGTCTGTAAGAAAGTCTAGAAAGTGAAAGATACTATGTGGGCTTTTAGTATTGGGAAGACTCTTTTCAGCTAGACAGAATATTGCCACACCAGACAACATAAATGATGTTATAAAACTGATCTATAATCCTGTTCCTAAACTTTCTAACTGCAGCAGGGCTATTTCCTAATCTACAACTGGCTGGTTTATTTCTTATTCTTGGCATTGATTTTTAGTGACATTGCTATTTATTACCCGAGTTACACACATCAGTTCTGTCCCACTTTCCATCTTGCCATTGGAGACAAAATCAAATATTTGGGGTTCTTTTTTTTATTTTTTTGGAGCTATCATACCTTTGCCAAGACACGATAAAGAGGAACTGCAGCATTTTGCTGCAACATTTTCATTTTAGAAGGTTGTACTTGTCAGCTAACAAACTAATTTTTAGTCAGGAAGAAATTTAATGGCAAAACACCTTTTTAAAGCATTCTGAAGTGTAAATTATGTTATACCTTTGCTCTCTTGATCTTAGGAGTCCAGAAGCAATGAGAGCTGCTACCAAAGAAGTGCGAAGTATTTTGGAGAGTGCTGAAGAGAATATCAGCTTAGATGGCAAACGTATTTCCTTGAACCGAAAACAGCTGGATAATATGCCAATACTAGGTATGGTTATTTTATGCAGGAGTACCAGAAATCACACTACAATTTCCATGGTCTTCAATTTATTACCATATAAGTGCATGCTATGGAATTAGCAAGGAAACAGTACAAGAAAGTGTATGTTCCTTAGCAGTAGCCAACACAATCAGGATTCCAAATGTTCCAGGTGGTACTGAGAGTATGAAAATGCACATGAATAGCATTTTTTCATGGGTAATATCATGTCCCAATACTCTTACACAGCTACCTAACATAGTATTGGAGATCTGTGGATAATTCCAAACAACATTTTGTTTGGTTATGTCTTTAGCTCAAATAAAAAAATGTTTATATTTTCACTACTTTTGCTTTAAAAAAAAAAAGTCAGCGTATATTGAAACAAAAAAATGACCCAAATTACTTCTTTTCTGAGCACAGGTTTCTATGCAGCACCTCTTAAAGTTTTAGAATATCCTGCTCACTGCACTGGTTCTTTTTCTTGTTATGTTTCCATTTTTCACTGGTTCATTCTTTGTCTCAGAATGACAGTGTCTCACTTTCAAACATTCTGTTGCATCAACTATAAGCATTTTTCTAGGGGAAAGCCAATTAGGTTCTCGGTGTTATCTCCAGAACAGATAGAAATGCTAAAAAGAAATGAGAAAGATACTTGCTTAGGCATTTAAAAAGTTATAAATAAAATATTTCTTCCTAATACATTCAGGGTTTGATAATGGGTCTGAAATACTTCAATATGCATGACTGTCCCCAAGAATGTAAACATACTATTTCCATGGTAATCGTTCATTTTGCTCTCCCAACAGACAGCATCATCAAGGAGGCAATGAGGCTATCGAGTGCATCCATGACTTTCCGAGTTGCCAAGGAGGATTTCACTTTGCACTTAGAGAACGATTTTTACAACATTCGCAAAGATGATGTCGTAGCTCTTTATCCTCAACTGCTGCATTTTGATCCAGAAATCTACGCTGATCCCTTGGTAAGTATTTTTCAAAGTGCCCTAAACACGAAGCTCTGGCAGAGGCTAACAGGCCTTTACAAAGACAGTCTGTTCTTACACCTGGAGATCTGGGCAAGAAAAAGAATAAAGTCAGTGCAAGCACTCTCTGCAAAATGTCTTTTAGTGTAACCAAAAAGTGTGCTGCCAGCCCAAAGAGTCTTCTACTTACTGCTTTCCTCAGGGAGGGAAGATCACTCTTATGGGGGTCTTTGAAGAAGGACAAGGTTAAGGATAATATTTTCCCAAAGGCAGAGAATGAGAATTCTTCCAGTTCTGCTGCACAGACAAGGATGCAGGTTATAATCTTTATTTTTAGAGATCAAGAAAGAAAAGAAGAGTTATTAACAAAGAAGCTGGGATCATGTCCTGCATAACAGAACTTCTCAGTGGCTACCCTTTCCAAAGCAGCTGTACATGCTGTATGATGTTTACTGCTAGAGGCTCTGTTTTCCCAGCCTTCATTTTATGTCTCAATGGCTTTATCTGGTCTTTGGGGGCATTCAAATGTGAAGTGACTCTTTTGTGTGTTTAATTACAGACATTCAAATATGATCGCTTTCTGAATGAGAACGGAGAAGAAAAGACTGACTTCTACCGCAACGGCCGCAAGCTGAAGTATTACTACATGCCATTTGGGACAGGCATAGCAAAATGCCCTGGCAGGTTATTTGCTGTCCATGAAATTAAACAATTTTTAACTCTGATGCTTTCATATTTTGAGATAGAGCTTGTGGACAATGATGTGAAATGTCCTTCTCTAGATCAGTCCCGTGCAGGACTGGGTATTTTGCAGCCATCGAATGATATTGATTTCAGGTACAGACTGAAATGCTTATGAGTATATATTTTATATTATGCATATAGACTATGTAGTATATAAATATACTATATAACACATACTTTATATACATTTTATGTATATATGCAAATGAAACATTTCAAGTCTTGGGGGAAAATCTATATGAAGATGCTAATTTGCCCCTCTAATGAAAAATGTTTACCAGTATGGTACCAACATGCAGTGGGTTTAATGCACCGTGTTGATGAAAATGTCTCCCTCTTTATCAATCATTTGGAAATGCAAGTTAAGATTTTGAATTGCATTTGTATAATAGCAGCTTTTTTTCTGACTTTCCCACAGTTACTTAGAATTTCATCAGCTAATTCAAAATAATTGTCAAGATTAAACTAATTAACTAATTAACTAATAAATTAAAACTTATTCCTTTTTATAACTGAAATTGTTGGGGATGGTGGTTCTCCCCACAGGTGAAATAAAGTTTTTGTTGTATAGAGGTAGATTCACAGTGGGGAGAAAAGAGTTTCCTGGGGAAGTACCTTTATGGTTTTATGAAAAACTAGAAAAAGACTTGAAGAAAACCTACAAAAATGTTCACGTTCAAGTGAAACTGCAAGACTTGTATTATATTCATTGTAATATACTTATTTTCAGAAACTTGTAACTGTATTAAAATAAATTATATCGGCTGAACCAAATGCATTTCTAGACTGTTTCTTGTTTTAACATCTTAACATTATCAAAGATTTCTGCACTGATCCAAAGCCCCTAAACCATTTTCAAATTAGCCAACTCAAACACCAATATGGAGATGAATAAATATCCACATTATGTTCATCAGTGGTTCTGGCTGGCTTTTGACCCATTGCCTAAACTCTGTATTTCCATAAGCCTCCTTAGGTCTTCCTAGTCTAATTCCATTGCAGTTATCATGGGTAGGATGCCCCTGCATTTCATTTTTAGTGGTGGCATGTCCATAAGAACAATTGTTCCAGGGTTAGTATAATTTGGTTCTCTGTAACATCCCCGTCCCTCTCTGCTGCAAATGACAGATATTTGTATGTCATGAAAGTCCATTTTTTAGTGAAATATCTGAAAGAAATAGCTTTCTTATCATCTGCTGATGAAAAGAACAAATGGACTTAAAAAGTTGTTATCCTAGTTTTGTGTGTTTTAAGGGTTTATGGTCTGACCTTTTGACTTGACTCAAAAGTAAGCCTCATCACACACAACGAGATACAGGGCTATTACATATTTTCAAATTTCACATTCTGGCAAGACGTCAAGTCTAGTTGATAGAGCTCTTCCTAGAATTTTGGATTGAGTCCTAGAACTGCTTTAAATTGTCTATTAGTTTCTCTTCTCACTATCCACTATGCTAAATATCAAAGGTAAATAAAAAGATTTTGCAGTGGGTGATTGTTTATTATCTGTGTGCTGTCTTTGTAATTTTATTTAATATTTTTTCATTTTCAAAGGAGATCAGAGAACACCAATTCATTTCCATTTGCAATATGTATAATATTAAACTATTACAGATAATGAAAAGTGTTCTGAATTATTACTTTGGTTCTCTTGGTAAAGCAAATATTCAGTACAGCTTAGTTTCATACTTCTGTCAATTATATTTTGTATGATTTATATAAATTATAGCACATTCAATGTAAGCTAGGTCTGATTTGGAGAATGCATGCAAGCCTGACATCATAATTATACGTGCCCTGCAATATGTTATTATCATTAGAGTATCTACTCCCCCTTTCTTAAACAATTCCTGCTTAAAACAACCATTTTTGAGGGTAGCAAGGCTATGCAATATTTTAAGCAAAATACACTTCCTTGATGACCAGGAATTCAACATATAACAGCAGAAAAAAGATAAGACAACTGCTAACCTAATTCTAGTTTCCCTGGAAAATTAAGCTTTCTTTTATGTCCCATTGTCTCCTTCAAACTGACTGCTCCAGGTTTTTCTGATTGTGATTTGATGTTTGGGGTTTTTTCAGTTTCTTTGTTCTATGAGAAACTGAAGTATTCAGTAGCTCTTAGAGATGATCTGACTTTCAGCTTCCCAAGTGTGGAAAAATAATGGAAGATTGGTGAGGAGCATTGTGAACACGTTCAAGTGGCTTGCAGCTGGGGTGTCAAAACCCACACACATCATACTAATCATTGTTTAGCCTTGTGTGTCGAACAACATCAGTGCTTAGATAACACAGGCCTGTGATAGATTTAGAGGCACCCTGTTGAACATGCTCGAGATTCCTGCCCTGCTGTGGGAAAGATCAAATGATGGTAAACTACACCTACACACATCCCTGATGTACAAGTGAAAAGAGCAGGTTTGGTGATTCCCTAGCATGCACCGAGCTCCATGGTGCCTGCATCCCTGCTTGTGGGCCTCCTCCTGGGTGCTGCTTGGGGGATGCCCCCCCTGGTAAGTGCTGTGGTTTAACCACAGCCAGCAGCCAAGCACCACACAGACACTCGCTCACTCCTCCGCCAGTAGGATCGGGGAGAGTATTAGAAGGATAAAAGCTAGAAAACTCATGGTTTGGCTTTAACAAAACCAGATTTTCTCTGCATTTCATCCATAGTTTTGTGGTTGTTCCTGTGTCCTGCCTCAGCTGGCTCACACACCAAGGGAATACCAACAGTAGAGAACTCAGGGGGAGGTAAAACCACCACAGGATTCACACCACAGACTAAAGTTGAGTCCTGAACATTGTGGACAGGCTACTGACTTAACTGTAGAATCGTAATAAATTGGCAGAAACCAGCACTGTTGCCAAATAGGGGCCTGCAGGGGCAACTCAAGTGTTCCTGCCCAAACTCCCGTGGGAGCGTGGTCCTCACCACTCAGCCTGCCACCACTCCTCTGTTGCTGGGGTAGCAGTTCTCCAAGGATGGCTGGACCCATAACCTGTGGATTGATATTCAGTGTATACAATAGAGGAAACCAGCTTTTTCTGCTAGTTCTGGACCTCTGTACCATGAGGAGTATACAGCATATCTTTGGGGGACTCTGTGGCACAGTGACACTCTTTAATGTTTGACCTACTGTTATGCAGCCGAAAAGATCCAGCATAAGCCCCTGAGGATGCTTTCACTTTGTGAAAAAAGACATGCAAATGAACAGCTTGAATAGTGATTTCTTCTTTTTTTTTTCTTTCCTTTTTTTTTTTTTTTTTAATATTGGGTTATATATGAGTATGTTTTTGTTTGCTGCCATGGCTGCTAATTTCTTAACCTCAGTTAAACCCCTGTTACTAGGGTCACACAGATGCAAGTGAGGGGAGAAAAGAAAGAGTACAAAGTCTGTGGCACTATGCCTCAGCTAATGTAATCGAATATTTCAGCAATCAGTAGTCATCTGCCTTGTCAGTGTCACAACACCACAAGGTTATAACAGGGCAATTCTCTTTGATGCCTCTCCTAAAAGCAGTTGTTTTCTTAGGAGGAAAAAAAAAAAAGTTATACTTAAGACCATAAGAGCAATTAGAAAAATAGCAGTCAGATCCAGGCTAGTGGGAAGCAGGCAGCTGTGGGTTGTGTGAGTATTTCACAATAAAAACTTTACTGGGTAAAATGCATAAAGAGATATGGGTAGAAGGGGGCAAAGATCTCACCCCCCAGGTGAGCACCCTAGCCATTAGGTTAGCTAAGGTATTCACTCCTTTACCCAGGGAATCTGTAGCCTGTTTTCTGTGAAAAAATGTAACAGATTCAACAGGATGATTTGTATGGCACCCTGACAGTACCCTTATAGCTAAAGTGCTTTCTTAGCTGAGGAAAGATTCAATTTCAACATGGGATTGAAGGCCCTGAGGAAGAGGAGGTTACTGAGTCCAGTCTCTGCCTCAACCCAAGGGACAACTCTAACCTTGTGGTTGTTCTGTAAAGAGCAAGGAGTACATCCTGGGGGACATGTAAGCCTATCATAGATTAGGCATATCAAGGAGTTTAAATGCACAGATTTTTTTGACCCAAATGAGCTCTGCATTGGGCTAGTCAGGTGCCTCTGCAGAGTGATTTTGGGATTATGAGCAAGACATAGCCAGCTGAGCAAGGGCAGGTGGCTCCTAATCCAGCAGGAGGTATTTTGGCTGAACAGATCTAGGCAGTGAAAATGTTTTACAGTTTCCATGCTAAAAGAAATCTTAACTGATTGGCCATCTCGGAGGTGGCATGATGACCTTACTAATGAAACAAGACACCTTGTCAGAAAACAAGACAGTTTTACATTTCTGAAACCATGCTGGCCACAGCTGTTGATCACCAACCTGGATTCATCCACAGAGAAACTACTCCAGATAAGCTTTTGCTGGATGTTAAGGGTCCTGTAAAACTACCCTGGGCAAATTATCTGCCTCCAGCAAAATGAACCAGCCCCTTTGCAGCAACGTAAGCACGAGGCAGCAGTGGCCACACTTGAAGGCAGCAGTGGTAGGGTTGGAGGGGGGTTCTCAGGGCTTAGGACCTTGCCCCTGTGAGTTGCAGCACGCTGGTGATTTTCTTGAGGTTAAAGTTCAGCCTGGGACTGCTTGACAGAATGAAGCTAAAACCATCCTAGCCAAATTTTTAAAGGAAGTAGCTGTCACAATACTGTGTGGGGACTTGAGGAGCTCCCAATGGCAGAGGGAGAGGACATCCTGGTCTATGGACCAGATAGGCTGAGGGTCAAAGCTGCATGCAAAGTGCTGCTCTTCTCAGTAAAAATTACAGAACTTTTGGGTTCAAGAAGAAGCAGAACTGTAGGAACCCAGTAAAAGAGCTTACTTCAGGCAGCCACTCTTCCACTTGTGAACAGTGGTTTTGAATAAAGATTTTCAAGCCCCGCCTAAAGTTCTTCAATTTTACTTTAGAAACTTCAGAATAAACTTTATTTACATGATGAGACCTTTCCTGCAAGTTTCTGATCTAATAAAAAAGGAAGCAAAAAGAAGAAAAGTCATGGGACCATTTTTCTGAAAGCCTGAAATGAATTTTAGTGATAACTATACCTTACTTGTTGACAGAGTGCTTCAGAAGCTGTTGTTCATCATCTTGTCATAAACAGAGAGCTGTAGCAGCATAATTAGTTTTTTGTCATTTAGGAACTGCACAGAGTGCTACAGTTGCATATCAGCAGGTTGAAGACAGGGTCAAGATCTCCTGATGCCCCTGCTCATTGCAGGGGATTGGACTGTATGACCTGTAAAGGTCCCTTCCAACCCACACTATTCTATGATTCTATGATTCTATGATCTGCTCTCATTTACACCACAGGTCCACACAGTTAAACAGCAAACAGACAAGGCTTGATCATAATTATGCCTAGCTGCATTTAGGAGGTTTGGTGGTAAAAGCAGTCATTGCCTCCTAATAACCTTAGAAATAAATAATAAAAAGGTTACATACTATTAAATGGACTGCTATCAGTGTAAATACCCAGCTTGCTAACTGTTGTTGACTTTGTTTTCTGCCAAGACAGACAACTCTGTGGGACACATTTCAAATCAAATGATCTTCAGCAGCCCACGTGTCATGAAAGGAGAGAGAGGTCACTTCAGAACAATTCACTAAAGAGCCACAGATTTTTTAAATGAAAAGTTAATTTTACTTAATTCACCTATAAATAAGATACTGCAGACCCCAATTATCTTTTTAAGGATAACAGTAATTTCTGAAATTTGTCTCACCAGATAGCAGGATCCCATAG